TTAATTTAGAGAATGAGAAAAATGAGCTTTTTATTAGCATAATAATAAAAGTATGACTATAAATGGCGCTCCTTTGAAGAGACTTGAACAATATCTAAGCTACATTAGCATATGAAGTCTGGAGAGAATTAAAAAAATAGCTGTTTTCAATATGATTGCTGATTATAAATGATATATTTCACCCATCTAATTAGCACACACTGCAATATACAAGGCTTTTACAACTTTTGAGATATTGATTAAAACACACATAATATCCACCAAGAGAATGAAATATATATATATAATATAATTCCTCTTTTATATTGCATATATATCCCTTACTAAAATCACATATTACATTGCTTATTCAATCCAATATTAAATCCACTATTAAGTCACTTTACATATTATTTATTAATTTGCCAAATTCATCCCATTTATCAACACCTATTTCATTCACTATTTCTTCGCTTAGTTCATCACATATTAAATCACCTTCTTTTTTGCCTTTCTCACCACCTATTTCATTGCCTATTTTATTGTTTATTTTAATCATCTAGTACTTCGCCTATTTAATCACATAGTTCTTCGGCCATTTCATCGTTTATTTTATCATATATGTTGCAACACCTATTTTATCATACATATATCATCACCAATTCCATCACCTATTAGATTGCCAATTTCGTAACATATTTCATCTCCAAATTGATTGCCAATTTCATACCATCATTCATTGATTACTTCATCTCCTATTTTACCAGAAGTATTTCATCGCCTATTTCATCGCCAAATAGGGGTTCATCAAAATTGTAAAATTTGTAAAAGCCTCCGACCACATTGCTGCCATCTTAGGGTCAGTCATATACCAGTCGTGACCAACCCCTTTATAATCATTAAATTTGGTATTTCATTCCACAATTCTGCCTTAATTTATATAATTCTATTATTTTGTAAATATTACTTTATTTAATTCTACAATTAACATTAATTATTATGAGATTTAAAATTTTTCTAATTTATACAACTCATCAATCTCAAATTTATTCTTTTCATGCTAATTCTTTCAACACAGATGGTAATTTCTTATACTTTATATTTTAGGATGGAATTGTTTAAATAGTAACTGTAATTTTTATAGTTGTTATGGGAGTAATTATTTTGGGTAATATGATACTTCTTCACCTCATGGTGTTATTGTTAGTAGAATATTTTTAAATCTAGAGAATCATTCTCATATCACAGTGGAATTACAGTTGTTATAGTAAGATAATAAAAATTTCAATAGATATTTAGGTCATTATAATGCTCCTGTTTTTAGCATAGACCATAATTATAGAAATGATCTTTCTGTTACCTCTTAAAGCCACACATGTGGAAGAATAGTAACGATATCTGGAACTATTTAACATAGAAGATCAACTCTTTGGACATGGATAAATAACTATTGGGTAGGAGGATTTGTATCATTCTCATTAAGTATCATTGAATGTTAGTATGATTGCGCTGGGTGCATAGAGAATTAGCAAATATTTTGCTTAAATGGTTATTTCATTCATATTCATTAAATTAGAAATATATCACAATCTCAAATGGATGGACTTTTTCATCAAATTATTTTTAAGACTTTAATTGTGGAGGTTGCTAATACTTGCAATTTTAGCAAATTAAATATTAGACTTGGCTACCTCTTCATTAAGATGTATTGATAAATTTTTTTATATATGATCCAATTACAATAATTGTAGATTATTCATGTGGAATAAAAACCTTAAGTACTTCTGGTGATTAATAAATAGAAGTACTAATAGAAAACCATTGTGATCCTATATTATCATTGAAAATTACAACTCTACCAACCTCTAATTATTGTTTTCTAAGAGATTTTGAGGTATTTTATACTTAACCAGAAAAACAGATAGTTAACAAATTGAATGAAGGTTGTTTAGAGTATATTGATGACAAATGCCTGATTTGTTAAGAAGGCTGGATTGAAGATAAGTTTCTTGAAAATTGCCATCCAATTTGTGGTGATGGAATGATTTAAGATTAATATTGTCATATAAGTGTATCTTAAACTTAAGCAGAAATAGTAGTAAGCAAATTGAATGAAGGTTGTTAAATGTAAATTGATAATTCGTGCTTGAACTGCAAAGAAGGTTGGATTAAAGATGATTTTCTTGACAATTGTCATCCATTTTGTGGTGATGGAATTATATAAGGTTAAGAAGAATGTGATGATGCTAATCTAATATCTAATGATTCTTGTTATTAATGCAAATATTCATGCATCAACTTTTGCAAAACCTGTGTATTTGGAATATGTTTTGAATGTGTGTTTTGAATTTGATCTTAATTCTGATTTTAATTGTGTGTCTTTGTGTGGGGATGGTAATATAGTTCCTTATTCGGCTGAATAATGTGATCTCACAGATGATGGAATGGGATCATTGTTAGGATTGCAGATTTATATTAATAGCTAATTGCAAACGTTAATTACTTTCAATGTGCTTGGTGTGTGAACTAGGATATTAACTCTTAGAAAATGCATGCTTCCCTCATTGTGGAGATAAATACGTTCTCAAATATTATGAGGAATGTGATGATGGAAATTTACAACCTTATGATGGTTGTTTTGAATGTAAATTTCAATGTGCTGAAGATTGCAACATATGATCTAGGGGAATGCATTTTAAAATATGGATATGGGTATAAGTTTGTTAATGATAAGTTCCTTTCAATTTGTGGTGATCAAATTGTCACAATTGAAGAGGATTGTGATGATGGCAATACTTTATAATTTGATGGTTGCTTCAACTGCAAGTATTCTTATTCATGTCCAGAAAATTGCAAACTATGCTATCAAGGTACCTGTTTAGAGTGCAATGATCAATACTAATTATTAAATTCAAATTAATGCATTTTATAATTAAATTGTGGAGATGGTTTGGTTTAGAAATAAGAATAATGCGATGACGGAAATGATTAAGTAGTAGATGGATGTAAGGATTGCTTGATTGAATAAAATTGGATATGCAACGCGATGACAAGAAATTCTCTAAGCGAATGCACATTTGTTAAAGCTCCAAAATTATAAATTACTTACCTCAACATGACTTCAAATAAATAATACCTAAGCATTTAATTTAATTAATAAGTAAAAATATACACTACTTAACCATTATCAGAAACAATAATTTTTACAATATCAAAGGTAGACAAGAAAAATTGGAATAGCAGCTTATATATCATTCAGGATGTGGGATCATATGTGAGTTTTGGAGAATATATTATCGAAATAAGTGTATATCAATTACTTGAATTTAAACCCATCTTAACAATTTTAGTAAATCAGACAGTTGCTAATATAGATAATGTTGCTTTGGAGGACTTTACAAAATCAATAACTTTACAATATCCAAAATATCTTGATGAAACTTAGAAGGATTATTCTGATAGATTGAAAAGTTTAAATATTTATTTAATCTATGCTTTGTCTGGGATTACCTGTCTAAATCTACTCGCAGGAAATGGGGATTTATTTATCGAAATTTTGGCAATCCTTTAATTTCAGCAATATTTGAGGTACATTAATCTGTAATTTCCAGAAAATTTAGAGATTTATTTTTCTATTAATGATTTGATAACAATCCAACCTCTATTAGAATTTATAGACTTTTTATCAATATTTTAGTTCATTGATCTTTAGTATAATTAAGAATCATATTCAGAGGGAAAATTTAATGTTTACAAATAGAACCCAAGTTTGATCATAAATCTTTCCTGCCAAATATTATAATGCTTGATATTTTTATTCATTATTATGTTGTACCAATTAATAAAGAAAATTATGTACAAATGGATATTTTGTTCTAGAAACTTTTACTATGCCTCGACTTTATCCTTATACATAAAACCAAAATTCATTTTAAGGTGTGAGGAATCCTTTTATAAAATTTGCCTAGATATACTTAATTTGAAAAAGTTGATGTCTTTTTAAGGTTTATAAAAAGCCTTAATTCTGAATGGTTGGGATATGATATTTAAAACTCAATTGTACATGCGAAACATTTAAACGAATAGTTACTTGGATATTGTATAACTTTTTATAGCAAGCATAATTCTTATTCTTTATTTTACCATATTATTAGATGGTTTCAAATCTAAATAAAAATTATAAAAGATGAAAAGGTTTGAAATTTTATGTTTTGGAAGATAATTTTTCTTTTTAATCTTCTTGATTAATATTTAAAGATCCCAAATATTATAATTAGGATTACTCCTATTAACAAGTATCTTTTAGATTAGCTTGTTATTTATCTATAGGCATATATAAAATAAAAATAAATAAATTGTCTAGTTGGTAGTAGAGATATCAGTACTGAGTTTTATGCTCAGTTCATTCTTATACATCAAAGATTGTGATGAATATTTTAATGAGAGCAAAAAAATTATTTTAGGATGGATTCATATAGTCATTCTATCTTCGGGTCTAATTTTAGAAGTAATTTTTATTATCACAGATTTATATATAAATTGGAAAAAAATATACAAAAGAACGAAACCATAATGTGCGAGAAATCCATTATTTATATGAATATAATATAAATAGATTTTAGATATAAATTACTTTTGCAAGCTATTTTTCATTGCACTAACTGATATTACATTCTAAAGAAATAAATAATAATATCATATAAATTTCTTTCTTTTTAACTATGTTTTGCTTATCCAAACATTATATATCTGCCATTCAACCTTATAAGTTTTATCAACAAAATAAGGAATGGCTACATCTTTACTTTTAGTATCTAACTATTGAAAGTATTGCCAAGGCTTAATGTACCAATATTTATTCTGTTTTTAATTTATTTAATATTTTATTTACTTTTTTTTTCTTCACAAATGAATTATTCTAAATTTATCATTGAGAGTTTCAATTTCTTCGAAACCTCCTTAATGCCAGACCTTTCATTTATTTTTCTTTCAATCATAAATCACGATGCAAGTATTCTTTGGATTTTGGACATCTGATTGCTTTGATTTATAAATTTAGAAATTTTCTCATATTCAAACTACTATATTATTCTCTAAAAAAGCAAATACTTATTCTAAATTAGGTTTATGTAATAGAAGAACTAACTGGTTCCAATTTTGGTATATATAGCATTGGAAATTAATCAATGACTGAGGGGAAGAGTTTAAGCCAATGCTAAAGTTTTAATTAATATTCATACTACTTTTTGACATAGTATTAAGAAATGGCTGGTAATTTGTCAAATGAACAGAAATAGTTTCCGATTGGTATTGTGTCTAAGTTGATGCATTCATTTTGTATCTATAAATTTACCTTTAATCTAATAAGGTTAAATAAAAAATAAGAAATAATTTAGAATATTGATTTAAATATATTTCTATTGATATACTTATTCGATTTCACAAATATGATGTCTTGTGAACATATTAACCTATGTATATATGGAGAACTACTTTAAAATTCATCTTTGTATTGTAATAATGGGTATATTTAATATGCTTAAATAAATAAAGAATACGCAGTTTCCAATTAGTTCAATTGTAATAAAGTGAAGGCTAAAAAAAGAATTTGAAAATTACCTGTTCCATACAATGAACTCACATGTTATGGTTTTATGGCCAAAGCTTTTTCATACCATTATTGTGCTTAGTCAAATTAATTCAACCCTCTTAGGCATTCACCTTTAAATCATTTCAATTCAAGTTTACCTTTACTACATAATGAATCAACATGTTATGGATTTATGGCCAAAGCTTTGTCATACCATTATTGGGCTTAGTCAAATTGATTCAACCCTCTTAGGCATTCACCTTTAAATCATTTCAATTCAAATTTACCTTTTCCATATAATGAACTCACATGTTATGGATTTATGGCCAAAGCTTTGCCATAACGTTATTGTGCTTAGTCAAATTGATTCAACCCTCTTAGGCATTCACCTTTAAATCATTTCAATTCAAGTTTACCTTTACTACATAATGAATCAACATGTAATGGATTTATGGCCAAAGCTTTGTCATACCATTATTAGGCTTAGTCAAATTGATTCAACCCTCTTAGGCATTCACCTTTAAATCATTTCAATTCAAATTTACCTTTACTACATAATGAATCAACATGTTATGGATTTATGGCCAAAGCTTTGTCATACCATTATTGTGCTTAGTCAAATTGATTCAACCCTCTTAGACAATCACCTTTAAATCATTTCAATTCAAGTTTACCTTTACTACATAATGAATCAACATGTAATGGATTTATGGCCAAAGCTTTGTCATACCATTATTAGGCTTAGTCAAATTGATTCAACCCTCTTAGGCATTCACCTTTAAATCATTTCAATTCAAATTTACCTTTACTACATAATGAATCAACATGTTATGGATTTATGGCCAAAGCTTTGTCATACCATTATTGTGCTTAGTCAAATTGATTCAACCCTCTTAGACAATCACCTTTAAATCATTTCAATTCAAGTTTACCTTTACTACATAATGAATCAACATGTAATGGATTTATGGCCAAAGCTTTGTCATACCATTATTAGGCTTAGTCAAATTGATTCAACCCTCTTAGGCATTCACCTTTAAATCATTTCAATTCAAATTTACCTTTACTACATAATGAATCAACATGTTATGGATTTATGGCCAAAGCTTTGTCATACCATTATTGTGCTTAGTCAAATTGATTCAACCCTCTTAGACAATCACCTTTAAATCATTTCAATTCAAGTTTACCTTTACTACATAATGAATCAACATGTAATGGATTTATGGCCAAAGCTTTGTCATACCATTATTAGGCTTAGTCAAATTGATTCAACCCTCTTAGGCATTCACCTTTAAATCATTTCAATTCAAATTTACCTTTACTACATAATGAATCAACATGTTATGGATTTATGGCCAAAGCTTTGTCATACCATTATTAGGCTTAGTCAAATTGATTCAACCCTCTTAGACAATCACCTTTAAATCATTTCAATTCAAATTTACCTTTACTACATAATGAATCAACATGTAATGGATTTATGGCCAAAGCTTTGTCATACCATTATTGGGCTTAGTCAAATTGATTCAACCCTCTTAGGCATTCACCTTAAAAACATTTCAATTCAAATTTACCTTTACTACATAATGAATCAACATGTAATGGATTTATGGCCAAAGCTTTGTCATATAATTATTGTGCTTAATCAAATTGATTCATTAATCTTAGGCATTCACCTTTAAATCATTTCAATTTAAATTTACCTTTACAACTTAATGATTCCAGATGCTATGGATTTATGGCCAAAGCCTATTCAAAATATTCAATAGCTTATTCATAGTGATCCTTTGAATATAAGAGCGTTCCTAATATTATATCTTATAATATACCATATCCACATAATCCTAAAGGTGAATTGTTTTACATAGATAATGATAGTTTTACACATTTCTATGCTTCATCAAATTCTCCTAAATATAGTAAACATATTCCTTTAATATTTAATGTTTAATCGATACCTTTTCCTGCCATAGCCTCCGAATAATGTGGATCTTTAATCAAAACTTTATCATATGCAGTTATAGCCTCTTGATATCTTGTTAAGGATCTTAAACAATCTCCTAAATAATCTAAGCTGAAATTAACCATAATAAAAGAAGTAGTCTTAATTAAATTCATTTAACTCAATAGTTTTTAGATAGTATTATATTGCATTATTATATTAATGATTTTTTCTTAAGCATTCCCCTAAAATTTGCAATTCGATAATACCTTTTCTAAATTATGCTGCTGATTTTTTTTTATTTTTTGAAATACATCTTCCTTAATATTATTGAGCTTACTAATAATAATGTTAATTTTTTAATGATAATTTTTAAATATCACCTAAATTATTGAATAAAAAACTACCCGTTTTCAAAAAAGAGGGTTCATGTTTTGGATTAATTTTAATTATATTTATGTATATCTACTAAGCAACCTCTTACTTATTCAATTAATTTAATGAATTTGCTTAAAATAATAATGATTATAACCTTTTTAATACAGAATTTCTACGTTATAAGGCTCAGTTAATAATAACTTATCAAATAGTTTAATTGCTTCATTTTATTAATTTCTCATATTTAAAGAAATACCTAAAAATACATAAAGATGAATTAAAACCTTTTTGATATTCCTCTTTATTAATTTTCATTTATTAATCAGATATCTTAAATTAAATCAGATGTAATTCTAATTTAATGAAAAGATCATCTAAAATTGTTGTTAATTTGGACAAAGGCCTTAAAACGTTGGCATTCAAATGGTTCTTAAATTCATCAAAACTAACAAAAGAATCAAGTGCTTGATATAATTAATATGGTTTTAATTAATTAATTTTATCTTCTAATCCACAGAACTTGTAAGATAAGCCAGTCATAAGCTTTTTATATGATTTGACTGTTGATTAGAATTAAATTTGACATTCTGAAATAAGACCTTTAGAAAGTTTTGATTTCTCAATTAAAAATTAATGTAATTCATGGATACTAAGGACATCTCCATCGTAATGTTAAACATGTTTATTCTACTTTTGACAATTCAGACAGAAGATTCGATTTTCATTGCAATCAATTGATTTACACCAAAAAAGGACAGGTTTTTCAGGATGATCTTTACATTCAAAATCGTAACTCTATTAAAATTATGAGTGTTAATTCATTATTTTATTATTAATTAATTTTATAAACTCATAAACCATTTCAATATATACAATAATATATATTATTCCAATTAAAATAATTAGCTAAAATCTATATGCAAATAGTAATTAGGTATTTCTTCATATCTAAGACTCTTTAAATTTACAGAAACTCAAAACATGGTATATTGAAATAAAACTAGTGAGATTAAACTTAGAAGTGAAAAACGCTACTCTATTTTAAAATAACCTTTATTTGCTTTAATTATTTTGAAACAATAACTACACAGAGGGTCTTTAATAGTTTATCCTCAGTTCTATAAATTAAGTATAATTTGACCTATAAGTAATTAACCAAAAGTGTTACTATCAGTATATAAAGTCCATATAACACTCAACTATTTTAAGTTAGGCTTATTACATAATCTTTATGGCTTCATCGATGAGAATCATGCAGATATGTAAATATAATACAATTTTAATGAGGTCAATTGGCTACTATTGTAGATTCTACCCAAACATTTTTCCTCACACTTAAAATAACATCAATTAGCGGAATTAACAAAATCTAATTCATCCTTACTCAACAATACTAAAAGAATTCTCTATAATGCATTAAAAAAATGAATTAACTAAATAAAACCATTATGATAGAGGGAATGCTTCCAAAATCGTTCAATGAGAGAGGAATATATATGAGTTGAAAATAGAAATAGCACCAATCTAAAATTCCTTTGTAAAATCAACTCTGAAATTGATTATCAAATTCTCTTGATAAATGTTATACCCGACATAAATAAAATTATAAAACAGGGTGATAATAAGCCAGCTTTGTACAAATTTTTAAAAAAAGGTTATGTATAAATAGACCCCTTTATGATGTCACAAGATATTATAATGTTGTTCAAGGAAAACAAAACTAGACAGAATCAATCAATATAGGCTTCCATTATAATTCTGAGTTAGGAAAGTTTCTTAGTCATTAATTAACCTTTATGTGTTGAAGTTGAAAAGAAGTTATAACCTTTTTCTAAAATAATGAATGCTCATCTAAAGTGAATAAATTTATTTAAGCAGATTCAGTAGATTACTTATTATTTAAGTTATACGCTTAATGATTATCGGCTTTCTGGCCAACTTCATATATGCAGATTGATATTACTTCATTTATTTTAGTCACTACTTTCTAAAGTTAAGCATTATTTGTGGTGGAATCAAATTTCAAATATTTGTATTTAAGTATAAAAATAACAACTAAATACTTCTAAGGTCAAATCAAATGTTATTAAAGGGTCTCTTCAAATTTAGAGTTCTTCTCTTACAAAGATGAGCTTTTAAGAGATTTTATCCCTAAATCATCAGATATAAAGGCCATTAATCAAGGCTAAAAAGGGAGAGAGAGGAAGAATTGATAGACATAAAGATTATTAAGATAGCAAAATAATAATTTCTGTTGAATTAATTCAATTTTATTATATATAGAAAATAGAATTCACACTTTCATAGCAGCAAAGGTCATATAAAGTTGCAGAAGATTTTACACAAGGAGACAAACAGCTTATTCATTTAAAATATGACGTATGTGACAATTTTTAAAACAAAGAAGGTTAGTATTGCTGCTATGTAGATTAAAATGATGAAATTCATTACTCACAAATAACTTAATCTGATAATTACTTCACTATACTCACAAATAACTTAATCTGATAATTACTTCACTATAACAGCCTAATTAGTTTAGCTTAGGTTTCCTTGACATACAAATCAATTTTGTTTGGAATCTACTACTGCAAAAATGTTTCATTGTGAAGGAAATGTAATCCACTAATTATATCTGTAATTACCATCACATCAGTCGATATGTAAAGGTTGAGCATATATTAGAAATTTTTACTTTAAATTAATTAGCAGTATTAGTAATGGACTTTATCAATTTGATAAAAAGAGGACTATAAAGATTTTTCCTATATTTACTGTAATCAAAAAGAGAGGAAGAACTTATTGAAATACGGAATATAGATAATATCATAATTCAAAAGTTTGTTAATCTATCATGCTTAATAATCTTTAATTCCTAACAGCTCGTTGCTATATTATTGATATCTACAAAGTTATAAATCCAAAGAAATTTGATTACAATAAAATGACTGCCTTTATCACAAGAATCGTAAGCTCTTAGCTAATAATCTATTGCGAACTGTTATTTCGTTCTTCCATATTTTTTTAGATTTGGCAGCTTTACTTTGAATCAAGTAAAAGGAGTCAGTATATCTATCAGAATAAGAGAGAAGGAGAAAGTAGAGCTGTCTATTCACTAATGTTTCTGCACTTTGTTTTCTTATTTTACTCCTTAATGCTCTGCTTTTGAAATTATCAATTTGAAACTTATGAGGTAGTGAATTAGGAGTGATGTGCTGGAACATTATGAACCGATATTTTATATCCAAAATCATTGGCATTAGCTGAAGGTAAATGAACATAGTTTGAAGTAATTTTGCTAGTCTTCAAGACTTATTTGATTATTTATGCTAATCTATTTGTTTAAATGAGTATATTGATAATATTCTTTAATCATATTTAAATAAAATCCTATGTTTAGACATATTAACTTGCCAAGCTAGGCCTACCTATTTAACTGATCAACTAACTAGACCCATTTGGTTCGATATTTTAAATTGGAATCAAATATTTCTGCAGGTGAAGAAATCAAGACAATACTTCTTAAGAGATTAGAGAAGGAGACAGGTTAGAAGAGATCATCTTATATTCTCTAAGAACAAAAGCGGAAAATTTTAATTTTTACTTTGTATATTGTTTAATGAATGATAGAAATAAGCTCCAAGCAATGCTTAAGCATTTATTTATTTATTCCAGAAATCCTTTTGCTTGATTTCAATGGTTATTCATGATACAATTGCCTTAAGATTGATCGAATAATCTAAAAGAATAAAGTTATTATAATATTTGTATTTAACTAGCTTTTCAGAGTTTTCACTTATAGGAGCCACAACTCTTAAGTGTTCAGACTTAATAAATCATTTAATAAACTAGATTTGCATCCTCTTCATCTTACCCCTTTCAAGTGATTATTTTTTAGCATATCTAAATTGATTGTTTTTATTTCTTTAGACACTTATTTTATTCTTTCATTTTGCTGAGGAGTAATTGAAGTTAGATACAAATAATACAAATGATACAAAATACATTTATATCACATTTACATATTGAAGTTAACCATTGTATCAAAGTTTCTTTTGTGTATACTTAATTTTCATTAGATCATGATTACTTAATTGATCCAAATTACTTCCTTAAGTGTAATTAATCCATACTTTTTATCCTTATAAAGTTTAATTAACATATAAACAGTTTCAGTGACAGCTTCAATTTCTAATCTAATTCACAAATATCACCCGTCTAATTTCAATTTACTTAGAGGCTCATTAAAGACACACTACAGTTACTACAGTTGTTGATTAATACGGTTAGTTCCCAATCTTTAATTCAGGCAATATGATAAATAGCGTGAATAATTTGCTCAAGTAATGTATTATAATATTGTTGTTTCCATATTATCATGAATTATTTAATTATACACAAAAACAAGCTTGATTTTGAGTTCTCTCTATAATAAATCATTTATTCAATGTCAGAATTCAGAAATCATTAATTTAAAAGTTCATTTATGAAAGATTTTTAATAAATTCAATACTCCTTAAATATTTAATAAGAATTCTAGAATTTCGCAATATAGAAATCGTCTAATTTGATGTTCCTTTTTCTATTAATTTCTTTCAAGATTAAACTCTTATAGTTATGTGATTATTCAAGTTTGCTCTACCATTTCACATTTCCTTCTTAGCTATTAGATGAAGGTTCTCTGCATTGGGTTGGATTCCTTTTTCTTTTTATGTAGTATAATTGATTGTTCTCCCCTTGCCTTAGAATATAAATTGTATCATTTCTTCTTCTTGTATCAAAATTACAATACTATGCATTGTATGTGATTAATAAATTAATTAGAGAAATTTAAAAAAAATTAGAATAGCAAGTGATGTTCAACAATAAAAGATCATCGAAGTTTATAAAGTTGAATAAAATCTAATAGACGTAATATTTTTGATTAATTTAATTTACAAGTCTTCATTCAACAAAATGAACTCTTATTTAGATTTTACTTTTTAATAATACTTCTGATTCATTGAATCTAAAAACTTTTTAAAACTAACCTTGTATACCAATATTTAACTTACCATAAGCTATATTTGAGAATTTAAATTTTGCGTAATAATTATGTTACAAAACCATAGATCAAACATATTAACAAATGAATTAACCTAAAAGACCAATCATTGAATGAAATATAATCAAATTAAACTATACAATCACTCACTAATCAATTGTCGGTAAAACCATTAATTATCAATTAATCCTGCAATATTCAATTTCCTAATCTAATTGGTGTAGTGGAATATCTATTAATAAAGATTGTTCAAGATTATTGGCTGCATTTAATGCACAAATTAAAGTAATTGAATTTAAATAAGCAATAACCAAAAAAATAAAATTTTAACTGAATATAAGGAAAGCATATATACTTTAAACTTCATGAAGTAATAAAATTAGTTTATACCTAGGAGCAAAGATAAATTGATGATATATGATATCAAATTAAAATAATTAATAGATTTCCTAATACACATTCAATGGAATAATGATTGGATTCTTTGTACAATATTAAATAACAATGAAGATTTAATTGTGTCAGGAAATATTGAATAAACAATAAAATTTGGATGAAAAAGAAAGAATGGTCGTGTTAGTAAAAACTAAAAATCTTTCTGATTATGATATGGTTTAAATTTTAATTAATAATAAAACAGAGTTGTATCATGTTGTGCTAATGAAAAATATTTATTTTAGAACAATAAGAAGAGAATAAAGATTAGATTGTAATATAAAAGATTACGGTCGAACAAGATAAATCAATAGCTTACAAAGACAAGATATACTCATCTAAAATGTGGATCAGATTAATTGTTTATTTCAATAATCATAAAATGCATCCTATTGAGCAAGTATGGCGAATATGTCAATTCGATTTGGAACACATTAAACGGAGAGTTTGTAACTGAATAATAGATTCATTTAAATACATACACTTTATATTGAGGAATGAGTGATAATAGAGAATTTAATCATTTGGGATAAAAATCATATTATATACAAATCAGAAGGTATTTTGAGTAGCGAGAATTATTACATCTAATATCAGTTTAAAAATAGTTTTTCAAAATCATTAAATAGACTTTTTAAATTATATTTTATTAGAATTTATCTGGAGAATTTTTGTTTAATAATTGTTATATCATTAGTCGTTATCACGCAAAAAACTAAGTATTTTTTCAATATTCAATATGATTATCATCTTATGGAAGTATTCTAGAAACCAGCTAAATTTATAGAGATTAAAGATTGGAAATAATAGTAATTTATCTTATGATAATTCTTAAAAGAATTATTGAAGAATCTTCATACCATTATTCTTATGAGAAAACTAAAATTACCAGAAAATTTTATTGATCATCAACAAAGAGAAAAGAAATGATATTAAATATTTTCAGAAATAAAGTTAATGAATTTTTCAATATTTAAATTTTTATAATTAATTATCATTTGGCCTAATGAATTTTAAATCAATAACAAGATAAAGTTAAATTAAAGCATTTTGTTTTGTATTTGAATATTTTTCTAGATTTAAAAAGAACATTGATTTTTGCCTTTCTAGTAGGAAGCCAAAAATGAATGTTGAAAGGATTAGTTTTTCTATAGTATTGATAAATTTCCTATTTTATCTATTTACTATAATTGTGTAGAAAACATAACTATACCAATCATTATTAGAATAATGTGAAGAGGCATTGATAATATATTTAATTATATTTAGTATTATTAAGATCAACACTTCGTTAGTTTTGTTCTTCATTTCGAAAAGTTACATCTAATATTATCTGATGATTCATATTTTGAATCAGAATTGATCAGATTCATTCAACAAATGCAAAAATATAAATTAATTAATTATATATAAAATATCAATGGGTAATAAATCAGGATCTGAATTTGGTGGAATAATGATAAGAACAGAAAAATAATTATATTTTGCTGGCGATGTTGTATAAGGTACGAAGATTATATTTAAGACACTTAGGAAACATATATCTTCATATAATAAAAGAAGGATTTAGTGGAAAAGTAGTCTAACTTACCATTTAGGGTAAAGAAAAAACAAGTTGGACAGCAGGATCAGGTAGACAAAGAAGAACACATGAAGGAAAAAATACTTTTCATAAAATCACAGTGGTTGTCCATACATTTTTAGAGGATAATCTTATGGTTGGTTCATTTATATTTCCTTTTGAAGTCCATCTGCCTGCAAACCTACCTGGAACATTTTATTATAAAGATGGTGTTTTTGCAAGCTTAAGTTATAAAGTAATTGCTAGAGTCATCTCAACATCTAAATAGATAGATGATATAAAAAATAAATAGGTCCTAATGTTAAGAGAACCAATTTAACAAATTTTTTCATCGTTATAGCAGAGGGAATCTACTTAGATTCTTAGCGGAGGCTGTTTTAAAAGAGGAGTATCAATATTAAATGATATTTTAGACTTCTTCAATTGTTGTGAAAGTAGAAAAAAATATATTTTTTCCAGCTGAATTTCTAAACTTTAATTATGAAATAGACAACACAAATTGTCAACTTGATGTAGATAAGGTCGATTCTGTAATTGTGAATAGATTAAGATTGAGATCAAATTCAGATAGCGAACATTCTATTGAATTTGAATATAATTATTAATACCATAAAGGTCCTTAAAAAGGAAATAAAATTTAACCTGTGTAAAAGTAAGAGTACTAATTATAATTGATTAATATAAAAAATCCTCTTTAGCATCTAACTCCATCAAATAAAGGAGATTACGTGAATTCAAAATATTATTTGAAAGTTCAGCCACATTACGAGGGTAAGAGCAAATCTAATTAGGTTGTTCTTGTTGTTCCCCTAGACCCACTGTGAAGATTCCAATTACTATATTTGCTATTCCTCCTCAAGAGTAGTTTCAACCGTTGATTTAACCTGAAAATTGGAATCCATAAGCATTTTAACGAATTATAATTTAATCAAATAGTTAAGGTTAAACAAGTACGCTAAGAAAAGATCTATAGTAAATGGCTAATCCAATGAAAAATTGAGGATTTAACATAATTATATTAAAGTTAGATTTCATTTTATAACCTAAAATTTTCAAAATTAATTATTATACATCACATTAAAAAGCAATAAGTAGAATTTGTTATCATCATGTGTAATTAGTAGAGTAATAAGTTGTTGAAGAATTGATTTTATTTTGTAATATACTGAGCAATAGTGGAGACTTATTAGAAATATAAAACAAAATAATTATTAAACATCAGTAGTTCCTGAGTCATAAAAATATACTTCTAAATAATTTCTTAGATTTAAAATTGATTAAATTTAAAGATATTCAAGTAATAGGATCTGTTTATATAGAAAGCAATTGTGTAACTGGTATTGACTATGGAATCACAACTATTATATATATATAAATTCATTTTAGTACTATTAATAAAATTGTAAGATTAGTTTTATCAATACTATCCAGTAGATTTGCTTATCCTAGAATGAATGTCTTTTTTTTTTTAATGAATTTCATTCCTATGGTTGTGTAAGCTTTAATTAAATCTGAAATTATTATGGCTCTTGCATCACCAACTAATACTAGAGACAGCTTCTCTTCTTTTGATGTATTTTTAATCTTCTAACTCATAGCATTTTTGAAAATTAACCAGAAGGTTTTGGGACTTGATATTGAAATTTAATTAATTATATTCATTTATATTTGAACTATTCCTCTATGTAATTATAATCTGGCATTAAAGAAGGTGTTAAGGTATTGATCTATAATTAAAAGCTATAAAATTAGGAAGAAACTATTAGGAAACCATAGCTATTTCATAAACTTGATCTTTTATAATTCCAGTCCTTTTAATATCCATTAATTAAAAACTTTTTATTAGATCTTTTGCCAATGTAATTTTCTACGGGTTTTATTTAAATTAATTTTCAAGTATGCTAAAGCATAAAGTAGACTTCCAAGATCATCATTTTAACCTAGCTATTCCTTGTTATGAGATTGCTGAACAGCAAATCTTAATGAGCCAATAAGGATCCTTCTCACAAATTTTCATTTCAGATAAGCCAAATTGATCAATTAAACATTCCTAGGTATAAGAATTTATTTTACTGAGTCCATTATTTACCGTCGTGGTATCATTATGTTCTATGGCTTGATATCAAGATTCAATATTCCTTGTTAGGAACTTATTTAATTGTTCTTATCACTCTTAATCCTATTGCTAGTAAGCAGTTTAGAAAACTAAACTTACCTTTCCTTGATCTTATAAACTCAATTTAGCAGTGATATAATTAGATAATTTCTAAGTCAAATTTTTAAAGTACTTTAAATCTTTGCTCTTTCCAAATTATATTAATTTTGATATTCCTCTATTCAAAATAGTTACTAAAAGATTTAAACTTTATTATCCATTTACCCAATTCTTGGATTTTGTCAATCTTGATAGCACATGCATGTTAAGTCATATTTTCCTAAACTTAACGACAAAATAATCTGAACTGATACCGAGGTTTGAAATCATTTAGAGCTCTAAGTTCTAAAAATATATTAATTCTTAGAAAAATTTAGGAAACAAAATTCATCGTGGAATGAGAATAATATGAAGTAATTAATTGAGTGTGCAATAATAACACTCATAAAATGAGTTTTATTAACTATTATACAATTAAACTTTTTCTCAATTTTAGATGTATGTAAAATCATTAATGTATCTAAAAATATCTATGTAACTTTGGAAATATGTAGTTATTTTGTTTTCTATATTCTTAAAAGTAATTTTTAACAACAAAATAAATCACTCAATTACATCAACATCTTTAGATTTAAAACTATTATAAATTCATTAAAATTTCTTAAATGAAATACTTTAGTGAATGAAGATAGGATATTGGAACAATCAGTGCTGATGGCAGGCAAATATATAATTACTTGGGATTAATACAATCTAATGATTTAAATTAGATACGCATCTCTAGAAGTAAATCGTAATTTTTATATTTACTATTATATTTGATTTTAACTAAGATCCTATAAAAATTAACACATGGTCCTGATGTTCAATTGATTATTCCTAAATAATATTTCTTGTAGAACTAATAATAAAATTAAAATAAAGTTATGATCAATAATATATATCAAAGTGTAATAAATTAAGATGATATCTATTTTTTATTATGAGAAGGATTGCTTTTTAAAGTATTATGAAAAATATTTAAATAGAATATATGTTTATTTAAAAAGCACAATCGGGATACTTTTTTATAGTGTTTATTTTCTAAACAATCTCCCAAGTAATAGTTTTTATTGTATAACGATAGTGCATAATTATGCCTGAAAATGTAATTTAATCAACATATTTATTAAAGATTATCCAAGAATGGGGGAATCATCTTATGAACTAGTTTAACAAAAAGAAAAAACTCAAAATTTTTGTTTTATTGGATTAAAATTAAAGATCAATTCCAAAATTTAATCATATAGTCACTACTTCCAATTACAATGAAATCATTATTTTAACTGATGGCTAAACAAAGTATTGAATAGGTAAGACCAGTTAATCTTTGAATAATTTATATTTTGCGAATAAGTTCAATGACCAAATACTAAACTTGGTCAAAAATAAATTTGTACTTGATTTTTTTCAGCTTTAATGAGGAGAATATTTTTTGCTGAGGTGCAAATTCATAAATAATCCAAAGTAATATATATCAGATTTCATCTTATATTCCCTTTGGAGCATGAAATTAATATGAGCTATTTTATTGAATACCTTAATATATTATTAAATCCTCTTCTTTAACACTCTCATAATCTCCGATATAAAAGTGAGCTTCCATTAAGTTTTCATAGTCAATATAATTTTCATTGTCAATATAAATTGATTTTGGTGAGGTATTTGTATGAATAAGACCTTCTTAGTGAAATGCCAAAATACCTAGAAGATATATAATGAATAATTAACCTATAATTAATTCATTGATAGATCTGTAGGCTATTTTTCGATATAAAATGTCTCACTGTTGTATGCCTTTTTTTGTTCTGCAATCTAAGCCAAATTCATAAAAATTTTCTTTGGTGAAAAAAAGGCATAATTAAATAATCTCAAGTAAGAAAACGAAAATTTCTCTATTTTGATCTTCTAATTATTAATTTTTATAAGGTGTAGACAAATCATAACTTCGATAAAGAGACTCTTCGAATAAATTCCAAAAACTGTTTCAAATACTTTTTGGGTGTTAAATTCCACTGTATAAATATATTTAAGTATGAAACTTTTAAAAATATCAATGTTAGGAACAGTCATTTTAAAGTGTGAATCTTCTAATCAATTAGTTCTAGAAAAACACAGTTTTCAATTAAATGTAATTGTTCAATGGATTAAGGATTCCACGTAATTTTTTTTTAACTTAATTCACTTAAGGCTAAGTTATAGATAATGTATTTAGAGAATGTTAAAAAAATTTATATTAAGCCTGGACTTGTCATGTTATTCATCCTTGAAAAATCTTAAATTTATTTCTCTAGTCAAATATGATGGCTTAATCTATAAATTTCTTTTTCCTACTATTTAGTGTATTTTTATATGGAATCTCTTATATAATTTTCTTAAAGCTCATTATAATTACACTAATACTCTTCGCTATTCATTTTTGTGTAATAGAGTATTTTGATTTTAAAAATAAATATTAAGATTGAATAATTATCATCCTATATTTCTAATAATTTTGAATCTAAATGTTATTGTGACTTTGTTTTGGTTTTCTTGTCATTGAAGTAAAAGTGTGGTGTAGGTATTGGTATTGGTAAACTGATTATCATCTTTCTTTTTTCCTGGAATTTCTATGCCCTTAAAATTTAATTCTGTCTTTTTCTCTCTATATTCTTTGTTCATGTTATTTAATTTTTTACAGCACACTATATTCTACTTATCCTTGTTAGACCTAAACAGCTTACACACTTCTATTCTGTTGTATATTAAAGTATGTATTTCTATAGCATATGCACAATAACAATTTAAAAAGAAAATCATCTGAGTAAATTAAATTAATATTATCAAGCTATCTATTGGCAAAAATGCTAATATATATAAACCTTTAGTTTGTATTATATGTTGATGCAATGCATTATCAAATCTCCATTAATTCTCTTTTTTTCTTCAAGATCTTTTTACATTAACTATATTTATTTTGAATTAATACCATTACTTGGGGACTGGGGTTAAAAGCAGTTAATTAATTATTAATTAACAAAAATGAGGAATATATATTATTAATAAGGAATAATTGTAGTAAATAAAAAAACAAGACCATAGTGCTTACGCTCCAAATTAGTCCGCCTTTAAATTTGCAATTGCACTTGCCCATTTTCCATTTTATTTTCCTCAACTTATAACAAGCAACATGGGTAGATCAAGAATAATTTTTCTTTTTATATACACTCAATCATCTTTTATACTAATAGTTATGTGTACCCCTTGTGTGGTTCTTGACTAAACCTCCTCTATCTCAACTTAAAAATTCAAAATTGTATCAGAATAACTGTTCTTGTTTGAGGGATCTGATATTAAATAAATCATGCGCCAGGAGCCATAGTTTACAGATCAGATGAGAAATTTTTATTTTTATAGTAAAGAGTTGCTGCATTTTTTGTACATTAGCAAAAAATATCATTTAAGCTCAAGAGACACCCAGACTCAGATTAAGCCTTAAGCATAAGTCCCTCTTTAGCAAAAATGGAACCATTATTGATTGTACATGTTGAAATCTTCGCTTAACATTATGCATATATTGACAACGCAACATCTTCAGATATAGTTGCCTTTTCATTTCTTAGAATCAGCAGTAAAACTAGATAGGCAAGTTACTAATTTCTAAATCTTATTTAGTATTGGGATATTTTTGAATTTCTTTGTTATTCATTGGTTTTTCAATTGCATCCCAATAAAGTTTCTTTAGGATTTATCTACTGATTCAAAAAACAGGGTGTCATTTATAAAAAGGAAGTCAGCATTTGTGCAACTTGATTTTAATAAGAGAGTTTCTTGGTTAGATATATAAATATTTGATTATTACTGTTATTTCATCTGCACCTAACTTCAGAAGCAACAACGCTTATTTTCAGAAAATTGTCAAATTGCATAAATCAATCACAGTGCATAACATCCTAAAAGTATAGACAGATGGAAAATTACTCTTTAATTATTTCAAAGATTTAAGGAAAATAAAAGAAAGAAAGTTATTGAGATTTCATTTAGACCTGTTTTCTATTCTTTGTTCACGAAATTATCCAAGACGGGCAAGCAAGAGAGTTGATAGAATGAGGCTCTCAAAATTGAGCAGAATTCATCAAAACCTAAATACTTAAGAGAAGAAACAGCATTCAATTTGATGACATACTTTCTAACTCTATAACAACTAGGATTATTAATCTAATAAATGCAAACATCAAGTGTCGCAGAGGATCCCCTTATAATTATAATCACATCTGACTCCAGTAAAATATTCAGCTCCTTCTGCACATTAGGTTATAGACAAATAAAAAGAGAAGTGTTCACATTTCTGGCTAGGAATTTGGATCTCCATTTCAATGAAGCAGACTTGCATTTCGAAATAAATTCTTCAAACACTTGTAAATTGGTTAAAACAAGAAAAAGCCAATCTTTAATGATCTTCGAAGTTAAGTTAAAGGAGGTATATTAATAATTAAATTATACAGATATATTAGTATATATTTTAGAGACTTATTCGATTAATTGATTTTTTGGTAAGCTAAAAGTTTAACTTTCGTTGCTTTTCTTGTTTAATGTGCTTGTGGTCTGTCAAAATATTATCCTACCCAATGTTTTATCGGTTAATCACAAATTAAATTAAATTAATTATTCAATTATATAATTACCTTTTGAATTTATTAATGAGGATATTATTTAATAATACGCTTTAGGGGTTCATCTGAATGACTGATACACTTTAGTGATTATTAAATATACATTTTGGCTTTAACAAGCATTTGCTATTTTTTAATATTTGAAACTGTCCTTTTGTGCTGAATTATGTACATAGTGTTTTAATCTGACTCTGATAGTAAGTTATACCAATCATGGTTATATATTTGTTATCAAATCATATCATATAATTTATCGCATCTTAATCTCAATCATATACGTATTACCTGTTACATTTCAAGCTCCACTGGATGTATGGAGTCTACTTTTGTGCATTCAAGTCTTTATGTGTATAGTAAAACACCTACATCTAATATTGGTAATTTTTTAGTCCTTACCCACACTACTTCTTTTATTACAAATTTGAGAATTGGAACTATTTCTACAATATAATGTATCATTATGCCTTTTTAACCAATTCTGGAACTAGCAATTCCTCTAACTTTTATGGTCGATTTATTTAATTCGATATACATACCTGAAGTTTACATAAGGGATATTTTTTCAGCATCGAACCATTAAACGTTTGCTTTGAAAATTTTGTCGCCTGGCTTGGCTGCAAGCTGCTTTAATATTACTTTAGCTCTCCTTAATGAATTTAATGAGCATTATATGCAAGCTAAGTTTGTGAGTATTCATCAGCTGCACTAGCTATTGCTTCTATATACCTAAGATACTTCAAAAATTTGATGCTTATACTTCATAAATCCAATCTCTTCAGTCAACGCCTGTATGTATTGAGCTTGCCTTCCATGTGTTACTTTAATCTATTAATCATCTATACATGCATATACTATTAAATACATAAATACTACTAGGAAATTTCAATGGTGCATTTATTAATACTAAGAGACACAACATAAAGCAAATTTGAACAATTAATCTCTCACTAAGCGTTGAAAAAATTGCTGTTTCAATTATGCATAAAATGTGATCGCCTATACACACTTTATATACGAAAATCTAAGCTTATTAATTAACTCTCACCTTTTTCTTGAACGTCAAGCATATTCAATATCTCTTGTCAATAGTCCCATTCTAAGTGTTGAAATAACTATCTTGAGAGATAAAAAATAAAACTAGTGTATTTAGATTGCCTTTTTCTAAATAAAAGTGACATTAGAAACTTTCATTTTAATATTTTATTTTTTATGTAAACATGTGTGAACATAAATATTGATGTCATGATAGAAAATATTAACAATTCGATAAATTCTATTAAAAAGTATGATCAAATATGAACGATTGAGTAATCTAGCATATTATTTATGACTTTTTAGAACACATTTTTCAAATTTTGTACCTAATATTTGATATATAAATTTTTAATTTTTAAAAGTTTATTGCATCACAATATCTAAAACTTAATTCTAAGCTCTCAAATTAAAATTTCAGAAAGCTATCATTAAACTATTTGTTTTAAATATTTAAACAGTGTTAGATCGAAATAAATTTGATAGCGTAAATTATTTAATTTGAAAATCTAAATTAATAGGAATTATTTCAGTCAACTATTACGGAATGCTATATTTATTTTTTGAAACAAAATTATTACATATTATTCTCACTTTAAATTATGAATTCAGCTACTCAAATGAGAAATTAATTATTAAACTAAAAATAATATTAGGATATATTAAAATGGAGAATTCTATATAAGTATGGACTAATGAATAAAACTTTTATAAAATAGTCGAAATTTTGCTATACCACAAATAATGAAGAGAATACCCTACTTTTAGTGGGTTTGATTGGTATATCAAAGTGTTTCAATTCAAAGAGAAAATTTCAAACTAAGGAGACATCTTAGATTTCTTAGAGATTGTTTTGCTTCTATTAATTTTTTCATAGGAACAAATATGCACATTAAAATTTTAGATCTGTTTAGTTTCTTATAGCACTAAATCATCAAATACCTAAAATTATATATTTATTCCCAAAAAATTAATATAATAATAATAAATAATTCAAAATAATGATCTTCATAATTTCATGTGTTTTGTAATGATCATTTACTTCTCTGAAAGTCTTTCTCCTTTTGGACTTGCTAATGTGATTTCAGGAACTGTTGGACTTCAACTATCTGTGCTTTCTCTTATTTTACTTCTACATTCTAAACTATCTGAATTTCTTATACTGTATCAACCTTCAAACTTCTGAATATTAAATCAAGAACCTTTTGAAATCTCAATGGCATCCTAGCTACATTGGATTTAACTTCATAATAATTATTATGAATATTATACTACTTGTAGTTTTCTACAACTGTTATTTTAATAATTGAGATTGTAATCTTATCGTTCAGCTTCACCTCTATAAAGATCTTTTATTCAGCTATTAGTAATAAAGCAGGAATTTGATACCCTTTTTAATACGACTGGTTTGATTGATATTGGAACTGTTAGAACTTTAACTGAAAAGTTTCTAGCACAGTAGCTAAATGATGCACTATAATCACCTGCAAATGGGTGAAGAGTATATTACAAGGAAACTTGAAAGCTAAGTTCAAATTACTGAGGATTATATAATGGCTCCCCTACAGCATCATCATACTCGAAATTTATCTTGTAATAAGAGCTGTTAAAGTTTCAATCACTTGTGCTGATATACCGCCTAATAAATTTTGTTTTAATTCTGCCAGGAATATTCTGTAAATAATGGAACTGTGTGCTACTTATAAAATACTCAACTCCCAAATCAACTTATAATTTGGGTTTTCTTCATGAGATTACCTAAAGTCTCCCTCTGACTTTAGTGTCTGCTATATTTACAAAGCTTTATGCTTTACCTATTTGCATCCTTGCTTTCTTCGATACTTGTAAAGGCTGTTTAGATGGATGTGTTAGGCGTTCTCAGAATCTCTGTAATACAAATAGTCCTAACTTAATTTCTACAGCAGCTGAACATAATAGCAAGGCCATTAGATAATGTTCTATTAATTCAAATTTTAAATATTGTGGTAATTGATTGGTTATTTAAATATAAATGATTTTACTTGCTCACAGTGTCTTGCATTTTGAGTTAACTCTGGTATTTTAATGGTTATTATAGGGTTAAACCAGGTTCCCAATGAAGCCTTGCTCCTAAAAATGGATATTTCCTAGACAAATGATAAACTTTTCTACTTTGAGCGATATAATAGACTTAATTTACTGCTGCTTTTTAAATTAACAAACACTATATTTCTAAATATTTATTTCTAGCCTTCTGATTAAGATAATATATACTTTCTAATGTATATGTTGGGAGAATGATGTAATAATTTAGCGAAACAAAATTCCTCATCAAGAATGTAAACTTTATTTTGAGACGATTTCGTTTGGAATCATAGATGTCATCTTTATATGATACCGATAGTTACTCATGCTTTACTACCTTCTTCAAACTTTTGATGAGTTGTATCACTTTATTACCTTCTTTGGCTATCTATGATGATTTAATTTACAGATTCAAATCTACATTTCATACCATAAAAGTAAACTATAATATATCAAATAAATACACAACTTGTGATTTTGAGCCAACATATTATAATTAAATCTTCAGGCTGTTTCTTAACAAGTGTTTATATTTTCATTGAATAGTTGGGTAAAGGATATTACTAAAAAGTTGTTCAATATAGGATTGTAATTATTTATCAGCATCTTCTAGTCCACACAAGTATAATTACTGGAAATCATAGTATCTTATATTTTATGATGAATTCCCTTCAAGTCGAAGTAATGAATTTCTCGCAATTAAAATCTTTTGGGATGTATACTTTAGAGTTTAGCAAGAAACTTTCCATATTTATTATAACCAATTTCTCTTCGATTTGATGGGAATTTGGAATACTTGTAGGAAAATTGCATAATTGACTATTGAGTAATCCGAAGAAGACTATGATTATGATTTAAAAGCAAAGAAGTGGTTATATAGCAAACACTACAAATTGTAAAACTGCATTATGATTGTTTTATGGGATTTTTTATTAAGATATTGCTACTGAGTTACACTTGCGCCGTTTGATACTCCTTCTATCGAGTTATCTTCCAAATTAAAAATTGTTTGAGTCACATCAAGGTAAAAGTGCAATTAGAACATACTATTATTGTTTTTCAAAAGATACTTTTGAAAACATATGGCAATGTTGCAATTTCTTGTATCACTCTATCAAATAATAGTTTATATACAATAAAAATGGTTAATTTATGATATAATCAATTAAATTATTAATATCATCCCCTATTTATTGGGATTCTGTCAATTGGAAGTGGAAACAAGGTTTTTTGAAATATTCATTTTATTTTTTTCTATCTTCATAGCTATTCTTAACCTTATTTTTTATGCCATTCTGAATTACATCACCTCTTTTATCTTATTCATTGCTTGTTTCATCAAATATTTCCCTATTTTATTCTCTAAATATTCCGAAATTAATTACTTTGTTAATGGTAAATTTCATTGACTATTTAACCCCCTATTCTATTGCCAGCCCCTACCATAATAGTGGCTTCTTAGAGAGACATTTATGTGCCTTTCTTTACCAAACCCAGTATAAAAACTCAAAATAGTAATATCAATTCAATATTATATTTAAATTAAGAAAATGTGGCGTTTTGACATTGATCATGAAGATTTTTATGAGATTTAGCTTCATCTAAAGAATTTGATGAATTTATCTTCCCATCCCTCAATTAGATATTCAAAAAACAATCATTTTAGATTGTCTATAATTTCTTTCAAGTTTTCAAACTCTAAGATAAGGCACATAAGGAAAATTAGAGGTCGAAAATTTATTTTTTAATTTTAAGGAATGGATGCCAAATGCTAGAAAAAATGACATTAAGAGAATAATAAATATTCTCAACAAAATTATAGATCATGGTTTTCAATACTAAAAAAGTGAATGAAGACCTGATCACTAACAAATCAAATAACAAGAAGATTATAGAATTTCTAAATTTTTTTTTTTCAACTAACTGCCTTAGATGAGAGATATATTTAGTGTGGATCAAATTCTCTTCATTTATTAGTTTAATGAAAGTTGACCAGAAGGAATCATGTTTTGAGATTATAAGAATTAAAAATACTTCATCAATAGGAGCTAACTTTGTAAAATGTGACTTAAGTGGATCTGAATTTGACAATGTCATTTTTAGTGGAGTGAATTTGAATTAAGCCAAATTATTTAATTGCTATTGGAGGAACTTAAGAATTAACAAGTTAAACAAGTTGACTGTTCATAGTGATGATGCCAATTAAGTTGGCTTTTCTCCAGATGGTATGTCTTTAGCTTCTTGTAGTATGGATTAATCTATTTGCTTGTGGGATGTGAAAACAGGGAAAATAAAGTCAATAATCATAGGAGAGGGTGATTTAAAATCATTGTGCTTTTCATCCAATATTACATTAGCTTATAGCAGCAGAGAATTTGAGTATTTATGGAATCTTAAAACAGGGAAATAAATTGCAAAACTAGATGGTCATTTAGATTATTTGAATTCAATATGTTTCTCTCCTGATTTTACTACATAAGCATCTGGTAGTTCAGATAACTCTATTCGTTTATAGGATGTTAGGACAGGAAAATAAATAGCCAAATTAGATGGTCATTCATCTGGTGGTACTTCAATTTGTTACTCTCCTGATGGTCCTACATTAGCATCTGATAGTGATGATAACTCTTTTCGTTTATGGGATATATAGATAGCGAAAGAGTTTCTACCTTAAGATAATTGTTACAAAGACCTTCTTTCTTAATTTAAATTACCACTATAAAGTCAATCCATTTAATAAAATCGCATTTAATTACATCATTATTTAGCTAATTTTGATCGTACAACACAACGAACACGCCAAAACCCAATTTTGGAAGCTTCAGGAGATTTATTTTGAAAGGAGCAATTGAAAATTATTCAGGTTATGATTTAAAACCCTTTTTCAAATCTAAAGAAGGCTTGATTTTAGAAAACTTTAAAGAATTGCAATAAGATTGATTATTACTAAAAAAATATCATTCAATTTATTTCAATAAATAATTTATACTGACGAATACATGAATTTTAATATAATATATTCTTTATTTAGCAAAAACAAAAAAAGGTATTCGAGGATAATTATACCTAGTTAACAAGAACCAAGAACCAAAAATGATATCTTCTTAAGCTCAGCCAGAAGAATAAAAAGCATAAATCAAAGGTTAGTTTTATATAAGGTATTACATTTTCCTTGTTTTAAACAAAAATTGAATTCCCTTGGTTTTGGAAAATTTCAAATTCACCAATATCGGTGGGCTACAACCTACCAGACATTAGTACTGTTTCCTAGCCAGTACGGCCGGAGCATGGATTTCCTAGCCAGTACGGCCGGAGCATGGATAAATTTTCCAAGCCAGTACGGCCGGAATATTAAATTTTCCTAGCCAGTAAGGCCGGAATATGGATCTGGGTTTTCCCTAGCCAGTACGTACTGAATACGAATAAATGTTTCTAGCCTGTACAGCCAGAATACGAATAACTCTATCGGTTTATGGGAGGTTAAGACAGAATAACAAACCCAATAGTCTGACAATATTTTAAAGATATTTTAGCATAGTTTAAGCCTTCAACCATTTAAAATAATGTTCCTCAAGAAAGTGATATATTTTTTCACTATTCTTTAGCTAACCCTTATATTACCATTCTAAAAATTTCCCAGAATCCCAATTTAGATGCTTAAGGAGTTTAATCTTGAATGGAGAGTTTGTAGATTATAAAGGATATGATTTACGATCATTATATAATCTAAAGGTAGTTTAATTTTAGAAAAATAGTTTTAAAATATACAATCTTAATTTCCCACATTTTGTTGTTGATAGTTGATGTTGATTTAACTAATGGTTATAATAATTATTGTATTATATAAAATATAATGTTTGATTGCAAAATTCTTCAACTAAGAAAGAGATATTTGATTTCAGAAAACGTATAATAATGTAAAGAAATAGTATTTTTATCAGTCTAAAGTGAGAGTAGTTTCAAACATAAACTCGATTAAGTTAAAACTTTGCTTTTAAAAAAATCTAATTTAGAAAAATGTTTCACTCTTTAGACTTGACATAAATCCTAAAGTTTAACCTTTTGTGAGTTTAAGTAATTCAATTATGTGAGTTTCCCTTTTAAAATTTTCATCAATTCGGAAAATCTAAGACATCTATATAACTTCCAAACCAATTAGTGTAAGCTACTTTTTGATTTGTATTAAACTCAAAATAAAGTAATAGAAATTCAATAGTATTTTAAAAAAAATTAAATGCACTACAAAAAAGAGTAAGTTGGAGAGTTGTATTAGGTTTTGGCCTTATCCAAGGAGGTTGATGAAGTAGTTAACCCTATCCTCATAAAAATATTAAAAAAAGAGAAAATTCAAGACTGTTTAGAATTTCTCACATATGATCAAAATAATTTCTGTTTAGAAATAGAAAATTTATCTCTGCTTGATAAAGTATCGACTATCAATGGAGAGAAGAACATTAAGAAAATAACCGATGTCCTCAAAAAAATTAGGGATCATGACTTTAATAAACAGAATTATTCTTCAGATGATTATGAAGAAAGTAAAAAGGATCTGATCATAAAAATATCAGGGGATAAGAAAATCATAGAATTTCTCAAATTTTTAGTTCATCTAACTGCCTTGGATAGGAGATATATTTAGTGTGGATCAAATTCTCTTCATTTGCTGGTTTGGATGAAGGTTGATCTGAGGGAATAAAGTTTTGAGAATGTCAGGATTAGAGATACCTCTTTAGTTGGTGGAAATTTCGCACGATGTATTTTCAATGAATCAGAATTTGACAATGTAGATATTAGTGGAATAAACTTGAACTAAGCCTAATTGTTTAATTGTAAATGGAAAAATATCAAAATACATGAGTTAAATAAACTGGATGGTCATTGTGGAAGAGTTAATTAAGTATGCTTTTCTCCAGATGGTAAATCATTAGCGTCTTGTAGTGATGATAATTCGATTATATTGTGGGATGTTAGAACTGGGAAAAAAAAATTCAGAATCAGGGGAAAAAGGGAGGTAAATTCAGTATGCTTTTCACCTAATAGTAGTATATTATCATTTAGCAGCAATAAATTTGTGTATTTATGGAATCTTAAGAGTAGAAAAAAAATAAAAAAATTCGCTCGTCATTCTAAAGATATCAGTTAAATTTGTTTCTCCCCTAATGGCACAATATTAGCATCTGGTGGTGGAGATAATTCTATCCGTTTATGGGATGTTAAGACAGGATAATAAATTTTTGAATTAGAAGGTCATTATGAAGCTGTTACTTCAGTCAATTTCTCTCCTAATGGTACTACATTAGCATCTGGTAGTTATGATAACTCTATCCGTTTATGGGATGTTAAGACAGGATAATAAATGTTTGAATTAGAAGGTCATGATGAAGCTGTTACGTCAGTCAATTTTTCTCCTAATTGTACTACATTAGCATCTGGTAGTGAGGATAACTCTATCAGTTTATGGGATGTTAAGACAGGATAATTAAAAGCAAAATTCAAACACTCAAATATTGTTGATTCAGTCAATTTCTCTCCTGACAGTACTACATTAGCATCTGGTAGTAGAGATAATTCTATCCGTTTATGGGATATTAAGACAGGATAATAAAAAGCAAAATTAGATGGTCATTCAGATTATGTAAGAACAATTTGTTACTCTCCTGATGGTAATACATTAGCATCTGGTAGTTATGATAACTCTATCCGTTTATGGGATGTTAAGACAGGAGAATAAAAAGCAAAATTAGATGGTCATTCAGATTATGTAAGAACAATTTGTTACTCTCCTGATGGTACTACTTTGGCATCTGGAAGTGATGATAAGTCTATCCGTTTATGGGATGTTAAGACAGGATAATAAAAAGCCAAATTAGATGG